AACGCGACGTCCGTGAAACCCCTCCACGCGTCGTGAGCGCTCATCGCCCAGGAATCCGAGTTGCGACGGCACATCGCGATCTTGTTGAGCCGGCCGTCGCCGACCATGGCGGCGACGAGCTGGCCCGGACACATGACAGAAAAGCAAATACACAGAAAAGCACAAATGAAAAAACTCAAGACTGTTACAAAGACAAATCTGATTCTATAAACAATAATCAGGTTTGTGCTGAGACCTCTCAAGGAAGAGTTGTAACCACCTAAGCACGGAGTCGGAGTCATTTTTTAGTAAATGCACATATATACTACAACAAACTTTGTAAACAAATAAGGTGGTGTCATGCACCTATGCACAAAGACAACTCTGAGCTATAATCAGGCATCACAATTGGATTCTATTTCGGCCACCAACCTAACATTATGACCTAACTGTAGTAGCTCTAGTTCACAAGGCGAACAAACAAAGGAGAAAAATTGAAATTAAATCAAGCATCCAGATCTGGACTATGTTTCTATCTAGTTTCAGCTGCAGAGATCCATCATATCATATTTTATAGCTCTTTTTTTCATCCAAATTCATTAAACTTGCAAAACAAAGAAGCAAGGAAGGAACGACATCCTTACTAGTATTTGGATTAGTTGCTTGCTTTAGATGTCCGTGATGGCTTCGTTCTGTCATTGGTCATGGTAGGGATCCAGAGCACCACCTTTTCCTAGCACCGACGAGATTATTCTCTTTTCAGCCATGAAAAAAGAGGAGGAACCGAAGAAATGCATGCATGGAGTCACGAAACCTGAACCAAGTCCATCTCCATCTCAGTAATATGCCTATATATGAGGCCTTCTTCTTAGCTTCTTGGATTTGGATGAATGGATGGCAGCTGGCAGTGGAGGCGGGAGAGCGAGGCTCAGTCTTTAGACCCCAGAGAGCAGCTGCTACTCAGTGAAAAGCTCTATCTATTTCTTGCTGCTATGAGTTACTGGAATGTGAACAAAGTGTGTTATCTATGAACACAAAAGAAATAATGTGAGAAACAACAAAGGAACCATCGGGAGTTTGTAAGGCTGAACTACCTCTAGGCTCATCCTTCTTAGGATATGCCATGAAGGACCCAATGAGATCAGACATCCTCCCTAATGTGGTCTCAGCTACAGACTGATTACGGGCTTGTAGAAGCAAGTCAAACAACAAACCCATGGTTATGGATCCACTAAAAGAACTGATCACTATACAAGTGTGGATCTATTGTTCTAAATAAAGAAAACTGAGCTGTAGCAAGTGCTTTTCTTCAGCAAAACAGTGTTGTCACGGTGTGTATGCTTATTCAGTTCCAATAAAAAATAGTAGAGAAAGACGAGAATAAGGGACAGTGTCATTAGATTAGAAAACAAAAGGAGGATCCGAGGAGATCAAGTCATGTACAGATCGTTTGGTGTGCGCGGATTGGGTTCTATCGTCCGTTCGGTGTTAGCGGGTACAATCTCTAGTGCCTGGACCCAATAAGCGGACCCAACAAAAACCAAGCTAGCGCACAGATCGCAACTTCCATCCAATGATGGAGGCATCGACTGAAAGAACAACCAGATTTCAGTCGACAGAAGAGTAGGAAAAGTGCAAAAGAATTAATATTTTGCACAAATATCTGAAAGACGGAAAAAGAAATAAATGGTACTGAACAATCAACACGCAGGCAAGAAATCCCTAATGCCGTCTACTCAAAGAACTATCTTACAGAGACTACCACTGACAAAGCCACAATGGCTGAACAAAGATGCAGGCACAATGACTGAACAAAAGATGCTCAGTAAGAACATCTCTAGATATTTCTATATTGGCGCCTGACGGTGGGCATAAAAAACCGCCTGAATGGACATAATTTATACTAAATATTTCTATCATTTCTTCCTTCATTTTGAGGCACCTGAATACTATATTGTTTATGTACATGCCATACCATGTGTTGCCATTGTTAACTAGGATCAGCAGCAATAGCCAATGCACTATTGCACTAGGAAGCCTGTCAGCAAAGTGATGCAATGTTTAGCCATTAACCAAATTTGATGCCACATGCATGTAGTTTAGAAGCACTAATAGTTTATTGCATGTACCATAAATTTTAGAGTACATCTACAGCCAGGGCGTCTCCTCCCTCAGGAAGGAGACTAGCAGATAAAGACACTTTCGTGGCAACGCAAAGGGTAACAAACACATGAGAAAGAGACAGATGGACAATGTAGTACTACTGTCATTTTCAGTTCCTTGTACACGTGCACAGTTAGTCATCAGGGTGGGGTCACACTGTGTGTCAGTGTGTGATTTGTCTGCATGATTCAGACTCTCAAAGCAAGTCATGTACAGATAGACAACACAATACTTTATGAATGGCAAGTACTAGCACTCTTGCTAATGTTTAGTGCTACAGATTTTCAAATTAATCAAATGGATAGTTAGATAGTGCATAACTGAAACCAAAAAATACAGGCCACCAGGATTGTTGTGAGAGGATCTAGAAAAACAGAGCAACAAACTACAGGGGTTCTTGCCGCTCACTCAAAAGAGCAACGTGACGGATAGAGAGTTAGTGTCACCGCTTTGAACAAAGAACACAAAGCATAATGGCTGGCTCAAATCCTGCAACTGCCCATCAGTCTTAGCAAAAGTAGCAAGCGAAACAATCTGCTGCTGCATCTCATTGGTTTGGAGTTGCTTTGAGGAAGAGGATAGTTCAAACCAATCAATAACTCGCTGAGGGCAACTCAAGAATTTCAAGATGGAGAGTGGAATATTAGCACGACAAAATCTAAAGAATCAGGTGGCGACAGATAGATTTTCACATCTCACGACTAAGACGCAAAACAACTGAAGCTCAAGGAAAGATGGAGGCAAATCATAAAATGTCCTTAGATTATTTGGGCCAAAAAATGCACGAGGTGATGTGTTTGTTTTCGTTGAGCCTAGCAGCTCTAGCGGTCCATGCATATAGCTGAACTATTCTACGGGTGCTCGGAACCTCTAACTGGCTGGATTTTTATAACACTAAGGTCTAAACTAAATTCATTTTTTAGCTTGATCAAAATAAAATGCAATGATAGCATAATCACACTTGACTCATACTTCCAATGTCTCGAAAGCGTGGATGTTCGGACCAAGCATAGCATTTGGTTGAAACCAACTAGCGATAAACAGATAACAAGCTAGAACCGAGGACAAACAAATTCAGAATTCTCAACTCATGCAAAGACGGAGGGACCAACCTCAATTAGGCATGATGGCAAGCTTAAGCAAAGAATGTGCATCAATTGGGATTTAGAAGCAAGCAAACCGTGGTGACACACACACACCCCTATGCCTCCTCCACACACACACACACACACACGCAAACACACAAGCACATAAACCAATAGATTTCATAAGTGGAGCCTATGACAATCGACAACTCACGGAAGCCTATGCATGTATATTTACTTACCAGTTGTCACCCCTTTTCACTGGAACACACAGAAATCACGAAAAACCAACTGGGACGCAGCTGCATCCACACCAAAACCAACTGATCTTACAGCTCTGCAGGCTTCTCTCTAATCACTACCACCTATAGAGAAACAATCAGACAATTCAGATGTAGCGAAAGTTCTTTACAAATTACCAACTAAGGTAAGAGATAGCGTGAACCACACAAATTATTTCAGATCCACACTCATATAAACATGCATTGGGAGTGTTTGTAGATAGCCAAAAATGGTAATACCATTCTGAAGAAATTTAGTTCTCTGCATGTGAATGGAATCTGGCGTAACTTAACCCCTTTCCCCTGCTGATTTTAAATTGAACAGATCTGAAGGAATGGGTGCAAAACTCCAACTGCTCCTTATAATAGGTGCTTTAGCAGCTTGACACAGATAAGGCCAGAGCATGACGTATTAAAGATATATGGCGCGCCGAATCGGCGGCCTCCCAGTGTGTCCACGTACGTTTTTTTAGCTGGTGCGTTAGATAGAAATTCCACGGCTCAGATGAGGCGCGTCCCAGCCAGTCTTCATGCATCCGCTCCGTACTACAGTCGGATAGAAACAAGTCGGACAGACAAACATTTAATGCCTGCGCCGACCATGCTTGTACGCTCGGCACTGGATGGGCCACCGACCATGCACCGACCGGCATGGCTCCCATCCCGTCTCCATCTCCGGTTCTCATCCCATCCCCATTTCCATTTCTCGCTCGCGCAGGCACCCGACCCCGTCGCCACCAACCCTAGCCGGACGAGCTCCATCTCGCCGCTGGCACCGGCCCCTCCCCCACCGGCCTCCTCCTCCTCTGCTCCTCCCTTCTTCCCCCTGCAACCCTAGCTCCGACGAGCTCCACGGCACTGTCAGCACCGCAGCCGTCGGTCGTCTCTCCGGCGTCGGTGGCCACCCCTCCCCCGTTCGCCTCCCCCTCCCCTACCCCTCCATCTCCCGACGGCGCGACCACTATACCCCACGACGGCGCGACCGCGTCCGTCCCGCTGGACCGCGCCGCGTCTTCCGTTTCTAGCGAGGGGCTCGCGGTCGGCGTGGAGGCGCTCAAGGACTCCATCCGGGGCCTCGACGTGGCCGTGGTTCGGCCGTGCGGAACATGACCACCTCACTGCGTGGCCGAATCATGTCGTGTCTTCTTCCTCCCCCCCCCCCGGCAGCTATGGGTCCAGCTGCGACAGTTGCGCGGACCGGTGGCCCTTGCCGGCGGCAACGGCGCTTGGGTCACGACCGGCCTCTGCTGCAAGCGCTTCCCTCATCTTCATCTCTGCCCAAGCTGGGTACTCCCAGAGGTCTACCTTGCCGCTGTCTTCGAGTAGATCGACGCCATCTAGGTTCACGTCCCCTTCTTCTCAGTCTGGATCTGGGGTTCAATCTCGATGGGGTTGTTGCGGCCTTCTCGATTTGGTTAGGTTTTGACTGACATCTCTGTGTTTCCTTTTCTTGAGGCCCTGCAGCTTGCCGGGAACGCCGCCGAGGATCCACATGGTCGTCACCGATAAAGGTCAGCACAGGAAAGCATGGTTGATAATTATATTTTCAGAGTTTTGAATTTTTTATTGGATGATGCAAGCTTGTGAGGAGTTACAACTGTGTTTGCTTTACAAACATTGTACTGGTTATGAAAACCATGCATTTATAGGATGTAGTGCAGAAATGCAGTGGAGGTTGGAAGAAGGTTGTAAAAGCCTTCGGGAATGATATTTTGTTGGAAAGTGGAGAAATTAACAGAGCTCACTTAGGGCAAATTGTATTTTCGGACCCATCAAAACGTTGGCTTCTAAACCGGTACGCCTTTCACTGATTTCAGATGTTTCATCCTTTCACTCTCTGTTTTTATGAATGCAGTAGTACGTGTCAATTTTGGTGTATTATGCAGTATCACATGAGCCAATTGTCCAGTCGTTATTCTTTGTGTAAGTACTAGTGTTGTTGAACTTTATTTGATTTATTTATTGTTGCCATTAAACGTGAAGAGACAAAACATTATCTATGCTACAATGCTGGACAAAATAAAAGTAAATACACTGGAGATATTACAGTTAATTAGTTAACTGTGACACTGGTCTACCCGCTTCTCCTTTGGCCTTTTAGCGTAATTTTTCATGTGTACCGCTTGATGACATGATTCCTTCTTACTGCCGTTTGCTGTTATTCTTATTTCTGTTAATGTTTCGGTTAGCTGAACATTTTATTGTATGTCAGTATTTACCGTTGCTAATAGGAATTGTTTTGTTTTTAGTTTTGTTTTTTCCGCCAGTCTTCTGGTGCCACATATTTCTTGGGGCATAATGTGGGAGATAGCAAAGCTATGGATGAAAGGATGCAAGGTTATCATCCTGGACATACCGCTACTGTTTGAGATCAAGATGGATCGGTGGACAAATCCAGTAATTGTGGTCTGGGTTAACCCAGAAACCCAGATTCAGAGGCTGATGTCAAGAGACGGGTGCTCTGAAGAACAAGCGCAGAGCAGGGTCAGCGCACAACTTGCGCTGGACTGGAAGAAGTCGAAAGCCGACATAGTGATCAATAGCTCTGGATCACTGGATACCACCAGACAACAGTTCCGTGAAGTGTTGAGGAAAGTCTCTGAGCCCTTAACATTGAAGGAACACTTGGGATCTCGAGATGGCCTGATCTCTGTTGTCGTGTGCACGGCAGTGGGCGTTTTGCTTGCCCGGAGGAATCTGCTATGATCCTGGTGAGGTTTGGGAAGCTATGAATGGTGATGTGTCGTTTTAGAGTAGAGGTTGTGCACAGTTAGGCTTGTTTGGTGCCTGTGCCTCAGGAGGAAATTGAAGGGCTGTATGTGGAGCTTTGATTGATGGAATATTTTTTTATATGACTCATTGTTTTTGCAGTAGAAATTGTCAAGGTAGCACAGTGCGTATATAGGTTGGTTGGAGGTGTCTCTCTGGTCAGTGTACCCTTTTCTTTCTCTCTTTATTTTTTTTGGAGGAAGTGTACTCTTTTACTGGTTGATTTTACTAGACTCAGTGGTCCGATTTACGAAACTGCATTTGACCCTGTTTGCATGTGCCAGATATTCTTCCGAACCTCATGGATGGGCTGGCAATTACAACTGAATTCGGCACATCCATGTGAATATTCTTGTGTTATCTTGTTATTAGGTAAACGAAGCCTTAGAGATGACTTTTTTTAAAGTTCTTAGCGATGGCGATTGTGCATAAGTTGGAGTTTGTTAACAGCCATGGTCTGCTTGAGGATTGGTTTAGATTGCTTCTTAATAACTTACTCCATAAACATAAACATAGCTGTGATTACTGGCAGAAACTGTGACCGTGAGGTCGATAGCAAGGGCACTTTCGAAAACAATCTAAAGGAGTTTTGCTGCGTACAGGCAGAAGGTTACCATACCGCCAGTCATGGCCAAAATCATAGCGTCGCTGGTTGTGCAGCGTTCAATCATAGGACTTGTGCCTTCTTCTTACGTTTGGGGAGAAGGGGTGGGCAAGGATCGGAGGCATGTCCTGGGCAGGTTGCGCCTCGTCCGGTGCTCCACCGGTCACCACCGTTCGGCAGAGCAGACCTGCATGTCGCCGTCGCCGGCCGGGCTGGACGCGGGCGGAAAGGCACTCCCCGTCCTCTAGTTTGGTGGCACTGGCACGGCGTCCACAACGCCCGCGCGGTATGGTACGGTGGTTGGTTGCACAATGCCGACGAAATATGGTCGGCAGTCTACCTAGGGGTATGCCCACAGTAGTAGATTATCAGCAGACAGATGCGCAAGCTACAAACAAGATGGTGACGCAAGACAGACACGAGGTTTTATCCAGGTTCGGCCGCCGCGGTGGCGTAGTACCTACATCATGCGTCTGATTGTATTGATGTATGTCAATGAGAGATGTTTTGAGAGGGGTCCCCTGCCCGCCTTATATAGTTTGGGGAGTAGGGTTACAGATCTGGAAACTAATCCTAACTAGTTACAATTGCCATAGGTGGCCGGATAAGGATTCCTATTCTAACCAACCAGGATCTTGCTTGATCTCTAAGTCTGCCTTGATTCCTTGCACGGGACTCCAAGCAGACTGGCCAGGCCGCGTGTCGTCTTCTAGTGGGCCAGACTCCCTAGTTCGGGCCGGCCCAATCCTAGCCATAAGGGTATGGGGGTTAATACCCTCACAGCTAGTCCCCGAGCTCCATGTATTATGCTGCAACACGTCGTTCGATCTCCTTCGGCTAATGCAACCCGTCTTCATGTCCTCTCCAACTGGTTGAAACATTGACCAAGCGAATGTGCCAGTATTCTGGTCAGAACAGAGAGCAGTAGACCACGATTATAGCCGAAGATTCCGGTTGTCCGAAGAATGCATGGTGCTCTGAAGAAAAAAGAAAAAGATTTCTTTCCTGATAAAGTGTGCCCACTTGTATTTCTAAAAAGAAATATAAGTGACCTTTGTACAGTAGCAGTTATAGCCAACAGTCAGAGCGTAGGGGTCGATAAAATAAGCACATTCACCGCAAGGTGAAGTGTGCCCACTTAGTCCCCGAGCCTGGTAGTAGGTGACGCAGGCACATGGTGCCAGGGTCTAAAAAGAATTCCCAATTAGGTTGAAAATCCAATCATCGTACAAGCGATACGAGATGCACCGGCAGGTGCATCGTACCGATGTAGTCCCCGAGCTTGCTGGAAAGCGAGGTATCAGCCTTGTAGCAAGGTCTATGTGAGAAAAATTAAACGCCTCTCGACTGTATGTGAGTACAAATCACAGGTAGCCGAGGAGAGAGGTCTCCGAGCAATGGTTGAAGAGTGGTCGGGGCAGTCCCCGAGCACCAGAGTCCCCGAGCAAGATGGTGGTCTGGACAGTCCCCGAGCACCAGAGTCCCCAAGCAAGATGGTGGTATGGAAAGTCCCCGAGCACGGTGGTGGTCTGGACAGTCCCCGAGCACGAGAGTCCCCGAGCACGGTGGTGGTCTGGACAGTCCCCGAGCACGAGAGTCCCTGAGCACGGTGGTGGTCTGGTTTATCCCAAAAACCATATGCCACTTGTATTATTATTTTATGTATTTATTTACTTGTTCCATCAAGTCCGGTCTGACACGTCTGACCAAATAAGTAGATGGGTATAGCATGTCGTACTACCTTTTTGTCTTGTCAAACAAACAGTTGCGTGGCACCTGCCAGTAGGTGCGTCAGCGTGGGCCCTCCCACACTGGCAACGAAGGGGCGCATATATTGGCATAGATCTCAAGGCTGTGAAAACAACCGTCTGCGGTGCGTGCGCACGTCTCCCAAGAATCTCGGGCAGACGAAACGACATAACTCTTATGTTAAATACAGCATAGGATAGGTAAGTTACTATGTCCTGGACCCCGTTGCCATTCACAGCCGTAGCTTTCTTCTTCCTCTCGCCAACCCTAATACATCCAAAATCGCCACCAATCAATCCTCCTCCATTTCCTCGTTCACCAGCAAAGCCAGATTCATGGCGAAAAGTGATGCGCAGAAGAAAGCAGGGGTCATGGCGAAGGAATGGTGGAAATCGAGAAGCAACGAGCAGACCATTGAAGACCTCGTCACCATGGGGATACTCCACAACAAGGAGCTCGCAGGATGGCGTGCGTCGGAGGGTGAGGGGTACCCCGATCCACAACCAGGTGAGATTGTGGTGTTCGAAGACTTCTTTAAACGGGGATTTGGGGTTCCGGTACATCCTTTTCTTCAGGGGCTCTGTCTTTACTATGAGATTGAGATTTGCAATCTGCATCCTAACTTGATCCTCCTTGTCGCCACTTTCATACATCTTTGCGAAGCATATGGCGGCTTCTGGCCCCATTTCGATTTTTTCGCCATCTTTTCTGTCTACGGAAGAAAGGAAGCGGCGGTTCGAAGATAGCCGGGGTGTGTACCTCAACCTCCATGACAGAATGAAAGCCCAGTACCTACACTGCCCATGGAATACGTCGCTTGACGACTAGTACAAGAAATGGTTCTACATTCGCGAAGAGCCGAACACGATCACACTATGCGACGTGGGGTACATTCCGGAGAAGAGGACAAGCTGGTCAGAGAAGCCCGAGCACCTGGAATAGATTCTAGAAATATTTAGAATGATCTCGTGGAAAAAACTGGATGGTCCGAGCGTGGTTAGGAGTTTCATCAGCCAACGGATCCAGCCCTGCTAGAGAAGAGTACATCCTGGCTATGAATATCAAGGTAGCGTGGACCCGACGAGGACGAGGCAGGGGGCGCTTGACAAAATCGAAGTCAAAGCCAGAATTGGAGAGCTATTTAACTTAGCTGATCCAAATTATGCCAGATTGAGCGACATAGAGCACGCTTTCAAGCTTGCCTGACCTCCCCTAAAGGTAACTCGTCTTGCCCTGTACCCGTAGTTTTATATTGTGGTAGGAAAAATGGAAACTTACTTTGTGCACTCATTTTTGTTACCCAGGTCAATGGTCAGGATAGAGCGACAGTGTTTATGTCGCCACCCCCTGGAGTGGAGTGGCCACAAGGAGGTGGTCCCACCACCCAGACTAGCGTCGATACCGAGGACAAGGACGTCGACTGGGCGGTGCTCGGGGCTGGAGAGGAGGCAGCGGCCCTAGCCGCTGGTAAGCGGCCGGCTGCCCCCAAACAGTCGAAGAAAAGATCAGCAACCTCCCTGCTCACCGGGGGGCGCTAAATATTAACGAGCCCAAGGGAGGCCCGGAGGAGAGGCCGGCGAGCAAATGTCGACAGGCGATTTTTGCCTGGTCGGACGATGATGCCAAGGAGGGAGAGGATGCAGACACCTTTCAACTTGTCCCTCGAAAGAGGAGGAAACAACTGGAGTCGATGGGGCAAGGTTTCTCATCCGCGCCTATGGGACCCACATCATCGATGTCGGTGAAGGATGCAGCCGAGTCAACCTTGGGAGTACCTGGGCAAGGAACGCGACCGGCGAAGGAAGCGACAACCCGACCGAGCACACCACCGACCACTACAACGCGAAGGACAAGCGGCGGAGGGGTCGAGCACCAAGGCCCAATGACAAAGTCTTTGGATGTAGAGGAGACCAGAGTCACCCGACAAAGACATGGAGCAAGTGCGGCCGAAGAGACGCGCCTTCGCCACATCATTCCGCGCTTCTAACATGTAAGTATTTGTAACCTTATTATAAGTTAGCAATTTGCATTGAATATGGTTGCCTTCTGAACTTTTCTCGGATGTACTAGTTAGGCATCCACAGAAAGTCCAGACCAGCTAGCTGGAAGTTGTGTGGCTCCGCCAATAAGTTCAGAGCAGACTGCCCAGCAGCCGGCCACCGAGGAAACCATAGCAGAAGATCCGTCGGGGCCTCAGCAAGGGAACAGTCAGACAACAGGTCCTCGAAAGGTGGTCGAGGGACCAACAAGGCTGAAACACGAGTGCTCCGGCGCTAGACCTCTTGAGAGGGCAACACCTCGATGTCGAGGGTGACGGAGCAAACCGAGGAGCAACAACCGGAGGTGAGAGCACAGCCCATATTCACCGATGCTGAAACCCGTGGGAAGGCTTTGGTGATCGCAGGTCGGGTGGACGGAGCGACAAGACCGAGACCCGAAGAAGAGCCCGAAGAGGATGAAGTGGAGGAGGTCCTGGGCCATCCGCAGGACAAGTGACAACATGTGTATGTGTCGCATTGGCGGAATGACCAATGGGTTGTCCATGAGGAAATCCCGGAGGTCAAAGAAACCAAGAAAGTTGAAC